GCTTTTCAAATAGTTGGCTTTTTTCTCATCTTTAAGATATCAGTTCAGATGTAACTTTCATAAAGATGCTATTCCTATCCTTTCTAAATAGTCTTACCACTTCCCAGTCACCATCACATGAATCAGTTTTAATTTCTGTATTACATGTCACTACCTGATGTTATTTTTTTTCTCTTCTCAATATGTATAGGTACCCAGTATAATCACTTTGCCATCATATCCCCATTGCCTACCAGAAATACTTTTGGAAAGTGGGCAGGATATACTATGGTTACACTTATGCAAAAAAGACATGAAATAGAACAAAGTGGACAAAGTTAGGTTAAGGTGAAAGAATTATGAGTTATTTTGTCTACTTTTATGTGTGTTAAAAAAATTTTTTAAAATTATAGATGAAAAATACGTTCAAATTTACAAATCTATAGGTTCAATTTTTTTTTTAAAGTTTTGAAAGTACCACGAAATAGAATTTCTGTGATGATGGAAATGTTATGTGTCTGTGCTGCCCAGTACAGTAGCTGCTTAGTAGCTATTGAGTACTTAAAATGTAGTTAGTATCAATAAGAAACTGAATTTTTAATTTTATTTAATTTTAATTGTCTTCATAACTTTCAGTCTAATGGCTACCTAATGATCCATCATATGGACATACCATCATTTAAAACTCAATGTCTTTATCAGAGGTTGTCATATGGATTTACCATAAATACTTTTTTATAGCTTAAGGGCACCATAATTTATATAACTCTTCTGTTTTAGTCTGTTTGGGCTGCTGTAACAAAAATACCATAGACTGGGTGGCTTATAAACAACACAGATTTATTTCTGACAGTCCTAGAGGCTGGGAGGTCCAAGATTAAGGTGCCAGAAGATTTGGTGTGTGGTGAGGGCCTGCTTCCTGGTTCATAGACAGCAGTCTTCTTGCTGTGTCCTCACATGGTAGAAGAGACCTCTTAGGAACCCCTTTCATAAGGGCACTAATCCGAAGACTGTAGCCAGCTGGTCAGATGTCAGAGTGATCCTGGGAACCTCCCTAACATGCTTTCTGATTTTTTACAATATGTATAGACGGATAGGCTGAGAACTTTGCAAATCTTTAAGTTCTTCTTCCTTTTTGCCTTTTTTTTTTTTTTTTCTTGAAACAGAATCTCGCTTTGTCTCCTGGGCTAGAATGCTGTGGCATCGTCATGGCTCACTGCAACCTCAAACTCCTGGCCTCAAGCAGTCCTCCTGCCTTGGCCTCCCAAAGTGCTAGGCATGAGCCACTGTGCCCAGCCTGACAATTCTATCTTTAAGTCATTTCTCTCTTCTTGCGTTTTAGTACAAGCACTTAGGAAGAGTCAAGCTGCACCTTCAACACTTTGCTTAGAGATAACTTCAGCTAAATATTCAGTTTCATCACTTGCAACTGTTACCTTCCATAAAACACTAGAACACAAACACAATTCAGCCAGGTTCTTTGCTACTTTATAACAAGAATTGCCTTTCCTCCAGTTTCTAATAACATGTTATTTCTCATTTCTGAGACCTTATCAGAATAGCCTTTACCCCATATTTCTACTCTATTCTGTTCATGGTTACTTAGGTATTGTCTAAGAAGACTGAGGCTTTCTGTCTAGCTGTCTTCTTTTCTTTCTGATTCCTCACCAGAATTTCCTTTAAAAATAAGTTTATGGCAGTCTAGGCTTTTTTCTAGCATATACCTCAAAACTCTTCCAGCCTTTACCCATTACCCAGTTCTAAAGCTGCTTCTACTTTTTTAGGTATTTGTTATGGCTGGGAAGTCCAAGATCATTGGCAGATTCAGTGTTTGATGCGAGCCTGCTTTCTGGTTCATGGATGGCCATCTTCTTGCTGTGTTCTCACATGGCTGAAAGAGAAAGGGAGCTCTCCAGAGTCTTTTTTATAAAGTCACTAATCTCATCCATGAGAGTTCTACCCCCAGGACCTAATCACCTACCAAAGTCCCCACCTCCTAATATGATCATATTAGAGGTTAGGATTTCAATATGAATTTTGGGAGGGACATATTCAGTATGTAGCATCTTTCCATATTGTGGGCATTTAGGGTGTTTCTGGTTTTTCTCTATTAATAATGCCATCATGAACAAAATTTTCCTTTTATTATTTCCTTAGAATTTATTATCTGAAATAAAATTAACAGATCAAAGAATGCAAACATTTAAGGCTTTTAGTACATATAGTGAAATTGCTGGTAGCACAATTCTTTTGGAAAGCATTAGATTGGAGTTCCTGTTTTACCACAATCTTACCAGCATTATTATAATTTTAAAAAATTGTTATGTAATTTGATATGCAAAAAACATTTTGCTTGTTGAATGTGCATTTCCTTGGTCATTT